GTGCCACGATGTTTTCTTTGTTGAAGAGAGTTAGTTGTTTATTATTCTTAGTTGTCATATTAATATAAAGGATGTCAAATAATTCATACTCAATGAACTCCGCCTTCAGTCTTCCCCAGAAAAAAAACTGCACATTTTCCGCAAGTCGACAGGTTATTTTCTCTCAGTCTACTTTAACCAATCACATTCAAGAGAAAATGCATTACCATACTGGAGCCCCGCCCCCATTCCAAATAAAGGATCTAAGGTGAGCAAGTTGTTGGTTATTTGAAGAGTGAAAGACGAACTCTACACAGGAAAATAGCAGAAGCTACTTGGAGTCAGCCTGAAAGACAAAGGTGAGCATCAAATTAATGAGTTTGTTCAATTTTAAAATCTATTTTAAATTAAAATGTAAAGATGTTACCGTTTTTATTAATTTATGTTTCATTTTCTTTCATAAATTTATTCTAAAGTCTTGTTTCTGGACTTTCACCATCAGCCCACAGCTCTACGTTTCACTGGCACTTTGCACAGCATACGAGAGAGAATCCAACAATGTACAACCTGGAGAATACTTTGGATAAGCCGGTACAGATTAATGAGAAAGATGCTGTGGAAGCTACAATACAAGATTGGGCTCAAGTGCTGAGTCACAAAGATCCAAATGATGAATTCAAAGATTCAGACTTTGAAGATCAAGTTGATGAAGAGCCTTTTGAAGTCACAAAGACAGATGAAGAGTCCAACAGTGGTTTAAGCTGGAGTGATGAAGCGTTCATTGAGGATTGTTGTCCACTTTGTTCACATGTTTGCACTGAGCCTGCGGTGCTGCAGTGTGGCCACAGCTTCTGTAACGGCTGTGTGCAAGAATGTGAGAAGTGGAAAAAGTCTTTTAAATGTTCACTCTGTAACAAAGTCAACAACAACCCAGAGCCTCCAGTTAATGTTTCCATGATGAGTTTGAGTGAAAGCGACAGAGTTGATCCATCAGGAGGACAAAGAAATGTGCAGGTGAGTGTGCTTCATTCTTTATACGCTTCATACAACCATATATCAACCATGTAGCTTCATCTTAATAGGTTCATTAGGCACTTTGACTCAATTATGGATGATGTGCGATAATTAATCACCATCATCTTTATTCAGCTACTTTTACAACCGCACAGAGTGCTCAGAAAATTAGCAGTTAGTCTTAAGTTAGCACAGCATATTTAAGTGCCGGAATGATCAGGACACATCAGTCCTAAGAGAGGAGATGAAGGACAAACAGTCCAGCAGGTTTCATTACAGGAAATAACCCAACTTTCCAAAACTCACCTCAACAAACTGACCTAACCCAAAAACCTCACTAGTCAGGCTGATGTAACTAAACCTCCAGTGAAGGAAATGATTCTTTGGAGCTCATTTTCAGCTCTAAAGTTTTACTCTGGGATTCCAGAGAACAGCTGTTTTATCATTCACTGACTTTCCTTGTGCTTCTGAGCGTTTGCTTTCTTGAAGTTATCCATTATCCATAATGGATGATTATAGTAACCACAAACTAAGAATAAAAAGTGAGAACCCCAGAACACAAGGATAAATGTGTAACACCTCCAGTCCAGGATTAGAGAAGATGATTAGCAACGTAAAACACAATAATCTTTAATCCAGAGAAGATTTCCTGTTTCTTACTCACCATCAGTGTTTTTCTGTTCTGCTCTTTTAAGCTGCAGCCCCTGAAGTTGTCGACTCCTTCATCTCCAGAGCTTCCACTGTCTGAAGATCTGACTGAGGAGACTTCAGTGTTTGGCAAACATAAAGAAAATGTTCCCCATGTGCTCATCATTAAATTTGTTGAAACGTTAGTTGTAACGACTGTTGTCACATTTGGTGAAGCTGATGAAGACTGAAACCTTTTCAGTTAACTTCAACATAATAACCTTGATGAGATATGAGGGTTAAATGAGCCTGTGCTCCTTCACGACCCTCTCCTCCTTATTTTTATGTATTTGTAACTCCTCCTATGGTTATGGTTTCACTGTTCACTTAAAGATGACTTGTATTAATTGCATATTATGGTTTTTTTTTTTATCCCTCTTTCTTTTAGATAAAAAGTAGCACAGTTTATGTTAAATATTCTCTCGTGTTTTTCCTGTTAGTCTTATTTATTTGTAGATCTTACATCATCTAAAGTTCTTTGGGCAGTATCGTGTGTTTTGTATGCTGTAAAAGTGACAAAGCACAACTTGGACTTTGCTTCCATCTTGTGTTCAACAAGCACAGCTACAGTGTGCAGGTCTGAGAGTGTGAAACCAAACTGTGAACTAATATGTTTTTTAACGTCTTTTCAGTGACTGATGCCTCGCTAATGCTTTCATATGTAATATTCTATTTTGGTAGAATCAATTTCTGTCTTCTATCGGGAAGGATGATTTGATTATCTTTTATGTTTTTGTCTGAAGTTGCATTAAATAAAATGTAAAAGCAAAAATTAAGACTGAATATTTTTTAAGAAAGCAGAACCATTCTGATCTAAACCCAGACGTTCACTCAGAAGCTTTACTCTTATCTCACTTTTTTGGGATAAATGATGCTGATGATGACTAATAATATTATGGTGATCCTGTAGACTAGGAAAATGATGTTAGTCAGGTCTAATACAAATCCATGAATCACAGGTTTCAGTAAAAGTGATATAATTTGATGCTAGTGTAATAACAGAATATCACACTAACTGTTCATGCTGTTGGTAAACTGATGTATGTAATCACACTAAAAAATGTTTTCTAATCTAAATAAAGATAAATATTGAGGACAAAGTGTGTTTGCATACAGAAAAAAGTATTTACATCAATGTATGATTAAAAAACAATGTCAGCTATCTCATGTCTAAGAAATGAGGCTACTACTACACACATCTTCCAGACACTATTCACCTGCATAAAGTGTATAAGTTTCATTATGGTTGCATATTTATATGTATTATGATGATTTCGTAGGCTGGGGTAATTCACATGGCAAAAATGAGTGTATTCCCTATTCTCTAAATGAGGTGTTGTTATTGCAAAATGAAAGCAATGCAATACCTTTATAAGGTACTGTAGGCGTACAAACCCCACAAATGGGTAATGGGTTTGTAGGTAGTTGCTAGACAACGTGATGACATCATATACTCTAGATAAGAACCTCCAGTGGAGTAAGATGTGTCGCGTATGAGGAATCTGAGGGCAAATAAAGAGACTATCCCTGTTTATGGCTGAGGTGTTACATTTTGGTGTTTTGTTTTTATATTTCTGTTTTTAGTCAACTTTGGTTTTTTAGTTTCCAGAGTGGGTTTGCTGTCTTCACCGTTTTAGTGCTTAGAAATGGTTGGTTTCACTATAATCTCCTAGGACTTGGCATCCACATATGCGGACATCACATTTTGGGTTGTCTAGACCAAAATACCAAATTCGCTACAAGGGCCTGATTTCCACTTACGAGGACATTAAACTGCCACTCTTCTATCAAAATTGAAAACGAATGTCATCATATGTGGATCTAATTTCCACACAGAAAGACCCCGGCCTGATGGTAGAATTGAACGCAGGACCTTCTTGCTGTGCGGCAACAGTGCTAACCACCGTGCCACCGTGCTTCCGGGCCTTTCATGGAAATTGTGTTTGGCTATACTGATTTTGCATAATTTACATGTCTTCTGTCACTGCATTTAGCTGCCTGTGTGTGAATCTGTGTCTGATGTATTGGTTGTTACATTTACCCTAAAAAACTGCTGTTTTTTTTTTTGTTGGATACCAAGTTAGTTTGTCCAAAATCAATCAAGCAATCAATAAAACAAAGCAAAATATCTTGCTGCTGTTTGACATTTACATTTTTTAGTAAACGAAACTTTTGTGGTTTGTTTAAGAAGGCAGACTGTCTGTGCATGCAAGAAACCATACTTCCTGTTTTTCTCAGGAAGTAACCTTCTCCTTTAATACCATCTGCCAGTGTGTTATTTAAGTGGCAGTTTCACTTTAGTAAGCAGCCATGCATTCGTCTTCTGGTCTGTTAGATTTAATGGTGTCTTAGCAGATTTGTAACAGTAAAAAATAGGGTTTGTTTAATGTATTTATTGACCATCTAGTTGACTGTTTGGAAGCAAATATCTTCAGTGAACAGTCAGAGATGTTAAAGACTGAGGACAAGGAGTATTCCCTGACAGAAACTACATGAGGATTAAAGTACTGTAAAAAGAAAATGGACCAATCAATCGTTAGTAATAAAACAGATGATTTCTCTGAAGGTAAGTCTAATTTTTTTTAATGTAAGGCAACAAAAAGATAATCTGAAAAGCACCAGCAACCATTTTTCTTCAGTGATCTCTTATTCTTGCTTTCTCTCCGAGTCAGTTCCCTTTATTCAGGCTGCAGTTCATCACTTCCAGCCAAACTACACTGCACAGAGTGGTGGCAACGTGGTTGCTCCTTCCATAATTGGTTCAAATGTTGGCAACATAAACATCAATATCTTCTCAGCAACGCAAGGTAGATACATGTAGATAGACGCAGTTAAGTGAATGCGCCGTTTGGTCTCTTCTGATCTTTGTGTCGTTTTGCAGAGTGTAAAGAGGACCTCAACAATGACCATACAGACAGCTGTGGTGCTCTGCTGCCTGAAAGTGAGTGCTTCTCAATTATTTAATTTAAAAATGTTACATTAAAAAAGTAAACCATTTAAATAAATGTTTTCTCTTTCAGTTGACAAGGTTGCAGAAAGTCAACAAAACCTGAAAGCCACTCTGAGGAGGAAGTTCAGCCACATTCTCGAGGGGCAGGCGACAGAAACAAACAAAATCTCTCTCAATAACATTTACACAGAGCTCTACGTCACCGAGGGAGGAAGCGGCGAAGTCAACAAGGAGCATGAGGTGAGACACATCGAGACGACACCCAGGATCCATGTGGGCCAGGAAAAATCAATCCACTGCGATCACCTGTTCACTCCTCTGCCTGAACGTGGCTGTGACATAAGGACTGTCGTCACACGGGGAGTTGCTGGCATTGGAAAAACTGTTTTGACCAATAAATTCACTCTGGACTGGGCAGAGGAGAGAGCAAATGAAAACCTAGAATTTGTATTTCCACTGTCGTTCCGAGAGCTGAACTTGATGAAGAAGAAAAACTTCAGTCTAGTGGAGCTTCTTGTTGTGCTTTTCCCTGAAATTAAAGACATAGAAATTTTCACTAATGTGAAAAAAAACATGCTCTTCATCCTCGATGGCCTGGATGAGAGTCGCCTCTCTCTGGACTTCAACAGATGTGAAATACTGTCAGATGTGACTCAAACTACCACAATTGCCGTATTAATGACCAACCTCATTAGGGGCAGATTGCTCCCTATGGCTCTCGTGTGGATCACATCACGCCCCGTAGCTTCCAGTCAGATCCCAGCGAACTGCATTGATCTAGTGACTGAAGTTCGAGGTTTCAACAACCTGCAAAAAGATGAATACTTCAGGAGGAAAATTAGTGATGTGAACTTAGCAAACCGGGTGATAGCACATGTGAAAACCTGCAGGAGCCTTCACATCATGTGCCACATACCAATTTTCTGCTGGATGGCAGCGACTGTTTTCGAGAAAAATATGGCTACAAAAGAGAGCAAAGACACACCAAAGACTCTCACTCAAATGTACATACACTTCTTATCCTTGTGTGAGGAGGCAATGAAGAAAAGGCTGACAGGAAGAAGGGAGTCAAATGCTGACTGTGTGAGAGCTAATCTCCTGGCTTTAGGAAAGCTGGCTTTCCAAGAACTCGAGAAAGGCCACCTGATCTTCAATGAAAGCGACCTAAAGCTGAATGGTATCGATACTGAGCAGGCATCCATGTTCTCAGGAGTCTACACACAGATCTTCCATGAGGAGATGACAGTGTGCAAGGAGAAGATGTTTTGCTTCGTGCATCTGAGTGTCCAGGAATTCTTTGCAGCGTTGTACGTCTTCCTCACGTTCCACAACGACAACGTTAACGTCCTGGTGAAGTTGTCCGCGTCACGACGCTTTCTATCCAGACCATCTGACCTCATCCTCTACAAAGAAGCAGTGGAAAAGGCTTTGCGGAATGAGAAAGGAGATTTTGACATGTTTCTACGCTTCCTTTTGGGGCTGTCCCTGGAGTCCAATCAGACGCTGCTGAAACATCTAATGGTCAACAACCGAACACAACAAAAGACAAGAACCGAAATCGTTAAACACATAAAGGAGAAGATCAGGTCCAATCCATCACCAGACAGGTGCCTCAATCTCTTCCACTGTCTGAACGAGCTGAATGACCACTCCCTCGTGGAGGAAATTCAGAGCTACCTCAGCTCAGGTAGCCTTAACAGAGCCAATCTTTCACCTGCCCAGTGGGCCACACTAGTTTTTGTATTACTGACATCAGAAGAAGAGCACAGTACGTTTGAACTGGGCAACTACACCAGGTCAGAGGAGGGTCTTCTCAGGCTGCTACCTGTCGTGAAAACAGCCCAAGTAGCAAAGTAAGTAGTTTACAGTTATTAATTTCTACAGGAGAAAAAAACAAAACTCCAAAAGACTGAGAAGAGTAACTCCTCAATTGATATTGGAACCCAGTGCTTTTAAGTAACATCTCCTAATCTCTTCCTACCTGGAATGACCAAATCAGGGCATCTGTGCATAGCTAATATCAGCCTGTCACAAGCATAGAAAAAAGCACATTTAAAGTCGAGCTTTTAGAGGAAGCTGCAGCCTGACCTATTGGCTCGAATCTCTGTTACATATGCCCAACACATTATTTAAAGCTTAGGCTGTGTTTGATGTGAAAACACCACAAGGTTTTCGCTGTAAAGCTCGAGAGGGAAAATCCCAACTAGATCAGCAGTTTCTGAAATACTTAGACCCATCTGGCACAACAACCATTTCACATTCAGAGTCACTTAAAACATTTTTTATTCCCTGTTCTGATGCTCGGTTTCAAATTCAGCAGAATGTCCCGACCATGCCAAAATGCATTGATTTGCTGATTATATGTTTGAATTAACACTTGATCAGATGACAAAAGTACCTAACAAAGAGTTAGTGAGTATATATTAAATATACATGATGTTAGGCAGTTAGCTAACATTTTGACAGATGTTTTTGCATAAAATTTCAAACAGTGCTGGATAACAGACGTATTTCTAATCTGCATATATAAGGGAATTTTGCTTCCTGGGATTACTTACCATTTTCTTGCTGTTTTCCCTGTTGCAGTCTGAATGCATGCAACCTTACGTTGACCAGCTGTGAGAACCTGGCGAATGCCATCAGTTCATCCCAACTTAGAGAACTGGACTTGAGTAACAACAATCTGACAGATGTAGGACTAATGAAGCTCTCCAGTGGGTTGAGGAACAGCAAAGTGGAGACGCTCAGGTTAATATTCAACATGTTTCTTTTATTTTTATTTCTCAGCCAAAATGTAAGCACATGATTACAGCATTTTCCTTTGTGCAGACTGAGGAGCTGTAGCCTAACAGAACGCAGCTCCAATGACCTGGCATCATTTGTCAGCTCTGCCTCTTGCCTGCTAAAACTACTGGACCTGAGTGATAATGAGTTTCACGATTTAGGAGTTAGAAGGTTTTCTGATGGACTGAGGAGCTCTGACTGTAAACTGGAAACCCTCAAGTGAGTGTCCTGAGTGTGAGGCTATGTACTGGTACAAAGACAGATTCAAACTGAAGTTGTTCTTGTCACTGTCATGGAGACAGCTGGATGAAATAACTTTCTGTATTTCTTGAAGTTTGTCCCTGTGCAGTGTGGGAGAAGAGGGCTGCATTTTCTTGGCATCTGCTTTAAACTCATGCCACCTGAGAGAGCTGGACATGAGCTACAACCACCCAGGGAACTCAGGGTTGAATCTTCTAACAGCTCTGAAAGAGGACCCACAATGCAGCCTGGTGAAACTCAGGTAGTGATGGTATCCACAACATCTGAAAAGTAACAGGTTATTTCAGTGCAGAAATAGTGAAGAACTGGGTGATGTAACCATCAACCATTAGATAGTTTCTCCACCAGATAATGTCAGTATCACCAGTGTACACAACTAACATTAATTGTGATGCAAGTGTCTGAACGTATTTGTCCCTCTGTTATGATTTTAGCATGGACCAGTGTGGTGAGTTCCGGATTCAGCCAGGTCCAAAGAAATGTGAGTAACCACAACCTCCCTCCTTTCTCCTATACTCAGAAAACTGTGTGATGTAAAACATGAACTGAAATTTTAAATCTGATTCATCAGATACCATCAAACTCACCCTGGACCCAAACACAGCACATAAAGATCTTTCTCTATCCGAGGAAAACAGGAAAGCAACACGCTGGACCAAGCAGCCATATCCAGACCATCCAGAAAGGTTTGATTTCTGGCCTCAAGTGTTGTGTAGAGAAGGGCTCACAGGACGCTACTACTGGGAGGCGGAGTGGACTGGGAGAGTCTTCATAGGAGTAGCCTACAAACGAATACCCAGGAAGGGAGAGACTGATGACTGCTGGTTAGGTCGAAATAACTCCTCCTGGGGCTTGAACTGCAACAAAGATGGATACAAAGCCTTGCACAAAGGCACAGGCATTCCTATAACCACCAAACCCAACTCCAACAAAGTAGGAGTATTCCTGGACTGGTCAGCAGGGATGCTCTCCTTTTACATGCTCTCCTGTGGTTCCCTTAAACTCCTCCACACCTTCCACACTACCTTCGATGAGCCTGTTTACCCCGGGTTTCACCTTGGCTGGGTGGACTCAAAGGTTTATTTGTGCTAAGTATCGCCAATCTGCTTTTCTGATCTGGAGACACCCGAGAATTCTGTTTCATCTAAATGCTGGACTTCTGAGCCCGATGCCCATAATGTGATAAAAGAGCTGCAGCTAATTTCAAATTACACCAGGATTCTTTTTGGTTGCTATTAGCCATATTGGCTCTGTATGGAATGGTAATTCTGGACAGTTCAGAACTTTGGATTCAAGCTGAAACATTGCATTGTATATATTTCCATGAAATGAGTGACAATGATACTAGTGATGTGAGCTTTTCAGATAACACCACACTGTGTGGTCTTAAAGGAACGAAACAAGGTTGACTGTGATCAGTACCTAGCCTGCTGTGAAGGTGCTTCTGTTATTCACTGTGATGTTTATTTAGATGACATCACGTTTAAAATGTACTTACCAGAAAAACTGAACTTTAATCTCTTTAGAGCAGGGTCTCAAACTTAAATGAGCTGTGGGCCACTGCTGGCACTGTCATCTGATGTGAAGGCCACTTCAGCACAAAAAACACACAAACAAGAAAACACAAATATTTCCAAAAATGTTTAAAATTTCAAATATTGTATAACAAGATAAAACTGCAAACATGAATGCATTATTTCCTCACTCTTAACTGATTGAACTACCAAATAAACAAATTGGTCCTCTCTTTCTGATACAGTTTCACAAGAAAACCACAAAGTTGATATAGCTGCAAAAACAGCTGCACAGGAAGGCATACCTTTGACCTTCACTATGTTACGTGATTATTTTGAAACCACATTAGATCAGCACCTAAACCCGTGAAAGACTAAAAACAGAGCAATAGAAAATGCAGAGGGAATTCTAAAACGACTAAATAGAAAACCAATCCTAGCTAACACTTTATATAGATACAACACTCCAATATTGCCTCAACAGGAGGGATGGTATTTATAACAGTGTTTACTACATATGGATTTAGTAACTACTCAGAAAATATTGTGCAAGGTGTGAAATACGCATACAAATGGATTCAACACACTCACATGGATTATGTAGAAATATTGCCTAGTAATGATTGACCCTTATTCTAAATGAGTGGAGGCTTTTCCCTGTGCTAAACTGGACTCATACACACCCCAATAAAAGAAATAATTCCCAGATTTGGAATCCGAGAAACACTATATAGAGATAAGGCAAGGATTTTATTAATGAAGTAATAAATAGACAAGCTCAAAATTGAAGAATAAGCTTAAAAATCACTGCACATAATTACATTTTCAATTTTTATTCTGACACATATCTAAGACAAAACACAACCAATTTTTTAAAAATGTACTTATACGCAAAGGATGTGTTCAGTCAACAATATATCTATCTATATAAATATATATATATAACGTTTCTTGACTCCAAACTGGTCTCAAACTGTGAAGCTGGGTGCAAAAAAGGGCATAAACATCTGTCATGTGCTTGTTTCCACATTGATTACATTTTAGTGTGAATTTATTAGGTCTGTTTTATCCATTTCCCTGGTTGGTTTTCACCTGACGACTCTGGATGAAGGCTTGTGGGGCCACCTGTCCAACAGCTAAAGCTGGGGTCATGCAATAAGAGGATGAATCCAAACACAGCAGTAACTCTACAACAGATTGGCTGCAATGGCCGAATCAAAACGTAGACCCGAACCTGATTGAAGTACAGTGGCTGCAAACTTCAATGAACTCAAGTAATGCAGTAAAGAGGGCTCAGATTCCTTCACAACAATGTGACAGACGGATAAAGTAGCAAGAAAACTTCAAGCACATGATATCGCAGGCAGCCTCAGATACACTAGCTACCTGCAGACTTAATCGTTTGGGATCATGATAAATATCTGCTCAGATATTAGCGCCATCAGATAAAGCAGATATCATTAAAAATAACCGTTTCATGAGGTTTTCAGTTAGTACAGCGGTCCTGATAAAATGCTGAGTTAGGCAATATACAGGAAAGCGTAATTTTTCAATGCTAAACTTACACTTCCCTAGACTATGAGAATTTTTGTGGATCCAGAAACTGAGAAGTGAAAGCATGCGGAAAAATGCAGACCCGTCATAAATGTATCATATTGTTAAAAAGAGGAAGTGACAATGTTTTGTAATTTTGCTTTTTTCCCCCCACAAAGTGATGGATAAGTAAGACTCTCTTCAGCGATAACACAAGAATAAAAAAACAACGTTTCACTTTAAACAATCATTTTATTAGCAGTCCCAAGAGGCAATGAAAAAAAAGAATAAAAGGAACAGAAATTAAGATTACAGTCAAGACGGCGGGTCAATCGAAGTCAGTGAACATAAAGACGGAACAGAGGGCTGCACACACACACAGAGCACAAAGTCACGTCGTTATAAAAGGAACAAAGTGATAAATGAAGACCGAGTTTAACCTCACGGGTGGTGTGTGTGTGTGTGTGTTGGCTGATCCCTCTGTTCCTCAGGAGAAATTCACCAGGACCGACCCCACATTCACACAATCGCACACCTCACATTCACGCAGACATATCGAGAAAAGAAAAAGGAAAAGAAAAAAAGAGAAAAGCCACGTCTTCCTCTCCTCAGTAAAAGCCATGATTTTATATTTAGGCTATTTGTGACACAAATCAACCATCAACAAACCACAGCCGTTCAGGCAGGCCTTTAAAATCGTTATTTTTCTATTAATTCTGTACAGATTATATATTTTATTTACACACTGAACAGCTTGTCAACTTCTCAGTGTGGAGGCAACCCAAAACTTTGCAAACATTCACTGGTGTTCACACGTCTGCTGCCGCTCTGTGCTCATCCCTGCCTGCTTTCATACAGACCCGGACATCAACGCCTTCTGTTAATATAAAGTCTGCAGCACTACTCGCCTTCAACAATCGCCCAACAAACAAAGCGATCGGGAGCACGTTTCCCCTCACTGTGACGCTTAAAATAATAGATTCACACGCCTCATTCATTTCCCCTTCAGTTTGTCTCTGGCTTTTCTCAGTGCTGCATAGACCTGGAAATAATGAGAGTTTCCTCTCATGACAGTCTCAAGAGACAGATGCTCGCCCCGGTGAGCGAAACTCAACTGACGCTGATTGAAACCAATCTGAATTGCCGATTACTGTAGCGATTCAGCAGTCACAGAAATTACATGCACCTTTATTTTCAGTGCTTACTGTTGGTAAGATCACATCAGACTCCAGTTTGAGTTGTTAATCTAGGGCTTAAAGTCAGATGCTCGCACCTGGAGACACAGCAGGAGATTTAAAAAACAAAACTGGGCAATGGGTCACTAATCCTCTCACATCTGGAAACACACACTCACACATTACAGATGATTGGAGCAGCATGGGAACAGAAGGGGAGGAAGGGGGTACTAAGGCCATGATTATAGTGGATGAGAGACAGAAAGAACAGCATTTATTCAATTCCCTATGTCCTTCACTGTAATGGGATTTAGTCATATAAAAAGTGTTTTCTATCCAAGAGTCATTCATGCACCCAAACAGCCTTTCAGTGCTTTTAATACAGACATTACACCAACTACAGCCGGCATCCGCCTTCTCCGTCAGTCTGTTGCATACGTAATTGTTCATTTTTGTATGTACATTACTCTCCCTCATAAGTTATTTCACTCCTGCTGCTGTGGAGCAGCAGATTTGAGGCAGAGTAAAGCTTTATTAACATCAGATCCCCCCTATGTCTCTCTCTCTCACTCACACACAGATACACACTCGCACTGTCACGCACACATGTGATCTACCAGCTGGTCTCTGGTGCTCAGCTGACAGACAGTAAGGGGAGCTTTAGTTTATTAGGTTTAAAAAAAAAAAGGAAAGGAAAAAAGATCAAGCGCTTTCTTTCACATGGAAAGGTGACCGGGATGGATCTGTGTGGTGGTGGTGGTGGTGGTAGTGGTGGGGGCTCATACAGGTGAAGGTGGGAATTTGCGGTGGGGGGGCCTAGCTGAGAAGCTGGCGGATCTCCTTGTGCATGTGACACAGGAAGTCTACGTATGACGCTCCCCCGCTGGCGCTCTTGTCTTCGACCAGGAAGTGTCTGAATATCAGCTCGGCCCTGTCTTCCTGCTTCACCACCATCAGCTGCAAAATGACAGAGAAAGGTGTGTGAGAAAGAGGAGGCAGACTTGATACAAAATGTGCCCATAAAAAATACAATTAAATAACGTATTGAGCATCCAGCTCACAATTATTGCAACAAGACAAACATAAAAGTGTATTTAAAAAAAAAAAAAAAAAATCAAAGCATCTCCTAAAACTTACATCATGAAATTAAAAAAAATTGAGTTTGAGATTTTCCGTTTTAATATTCACTTAAATGTTTCATCAATTATTAAAAATATCTGCCTTTTAATTCTTTGTTAAGCTCCTAACTTTCCAATTAGGACCAAACACTAGGTTAGATACACGTATCGGGAAGTCTGCGTTTTATTCACCTAAATTTATTCACCTAAATAACTGGACTGACCCGCCCAAAGCAGCAGACAGTGCACAAAAGAACTGAAGAAGAGAGTACGCGCAGGGTGGAGTGAGTGGAGACGAGGGTTGGGAGTGAAAAAAGGACAGCACAAAGAGCGACAAGAAAGGTTTACGAGATGGTCTCGAGACAGTTCAGGTTGAGCATTTTGGAGACAAAGTTTGAGGCAAGGCTGTGATGGATTTAACATGTGCAGAGGAAAGATGGTGAATATATTGGTGCTGTTGGGCAAGAAGAAAAGTGGAAGACCACAGAGGACATTAATGGATGCAGTAGAGGAGCTGCAGAGTGGTGGTGTGACAGAGGAGGATAATAGGGATAGGGTGAGATGGAGGCAACTTGAAGAAGACGATGAAAAATCTATTTCTCAACAGAGGTAGCATGCAAATTGTTTAAAGTGCACCTGTTGCACATTTTCTTATTTTCTGTCATGTAGACATTGTTGCAGTGGTGGATTCTCATATTAACATGGCCAGAGTTTCCAATAATGAGGTCAGCAGATGTAAAAATAACTCCTGTTGACCAAAAGCTCAGGTTTCAAGCTGCCTTAAATTCTCAGTTTAGACAGTTTGTTTTATGTTTTTGGACCTGAATGATGCCACAGAGATGATATCCTTAAACAGTCTTCTCAGTCACGCAGCACAGAAACTCCACTCAGCTGCTTTTCAAACCTTCTGTTTAGGAGCAGCAGCAAATCAGGGAAAAGCAGGCTTAAAAGGAGAGGAGTTAAAAATGGCCTGTGGGGTAGCACTAAGAGCCAGTATAAGCGAGATAAGGATTATTTTGAACTATGAATCATGCAAAGCTGCCCAAACCATAACAGGCTCATTTTCAGAAACATTATGGGGTAAAAAGGGAAGAGAAAACTTGCCTTCATGTATCGTGATCGCTGTGCTCTGAAAGAATAAATAAGCTCTCTGAGAGCCTGAGAGATGGGGTTGTCAAGAACAGGCAGACTTGTCTGAAACAAAAAGCA